GGAAGCAGCAGCGGGGAGCTTGGGGGAACAGCGGTGCGGTACTGGGGGGGGCACTGGTGGGGGAGCACTCCCGGGGGCCGGAGCGGGAGAGGCGCGGGGCGGGGGCACCGGGGGAGATCCGGGGCGTGGGTAGGGCGTTCGGGGGGCACCGGAGGGGCATCGGCGGGGGGCGGTGTCCGATGGAAGGGCAGCGGCACCGAGGGGAGTAGAACACCGGGGAGTGGGCAGCACCAGCGGGGAGCACGGGAAGGATGGGGAGCATCCGGAGGTGCACCCGAGGGGAGAGCGCCGGCACCGGGGGATGGAGAGCACCGGGAGGGAAGCATCAGGAAGGGGGAGCACCGCCGGGACGGGGGCACCGGGGAAGCACCGAAGGGGCGGGCGGGGGCACCGGCGGCGTGAGGGCACCGGGGAGCCGCGGGCCGCGGTGGGGCAGGACCAGGGCCGAGGGGTCACAAAGTGGGGGCGCGGCCCTGTTTGGCACCAGAACCAGGGACATCTCCATGGCCCGGAGGTCGGGACGGCGGCACTCCACAACTGGGAACAGGGGCCATGTGGGGAAGGGGACCCCTGGGGTGGGCTCCAGGCTGGTGGGACCCCCTCGACAGCTATGCCCCCACCTCGGGGTCCCCAGGATGTCCTCCCCCTTCTCCTCATCATTTCCCCAATCCCACCCTGCGCACCCCGGGGTGCCGGTGACCCCCACAGCCCTGGAGCTGTGGCAGATGCTGAGACACATTCAGCAATCCCATCCCCTGGGCCCCAGTGGCAGGGAGCCCTGTGCCCCCTGCTTTGCCGGGCGCAGTGGTTTCGGGGGGCAATGCCAGGCCGCCAGGTGGGTTGTTACAGATAAATGGGGGTGATGCCTCGCTTTGTCCCCCAAGAGAAGCAGGATCAGGGTCCCCCAGCCATCCTACTGCCTCCCACCAATCGGACCCCTCAGCCCCACAGCACCCCGAACACCAAGCAGGGCAGGAGTATTTATTCACCATCCACATGCCTGTGGGGGACAGAGCTTGGGGACATCCCATAGGGGGGCACAGGACAGCTTGGCAACCCCCTGACCACCCACTGCCCGCTCCTGCCTGCAGCCTCTCCTGCTCAGAGCAGGGCCAGGAGTGCGGGGGGCAGCAGGGCCAGCAGGGCAGGGAGTGGGGGGTTTGGGGGGGCATCGCCACCGGCGTAATACTGGGCGACGGCGACGTTGGGGTTCTCCTGTGCGGGGTCAAACCACATCTGGATGCAGCGGCCACTGCCACGGTGGTGGGATGTGTAGCGGTAGGAGCCGGACCAGATCTGCTCGCAGAGCGCAGCCGCCGTGGGGAACACGAACTTGAACTTCTGGCACATGGCGCCCTGGGGACACTGGTTGGTGCCTGGGGTGGTCAGGGGGTGAAGTGGGTCAAGGGCTTTGGGAAGGGGGGTGTGTCATTCCCCTGTGCGTGGTATTGGGGTCCAGATGGGTCCCGCTGGCTTTACTGGGGGAGGGGGCATTGACCTCAGGGTGGCACAGGGGCCACCACCCCATCACCCTGTACCCCATGAAGACCCTCATGCCCACCCCCCCGACCCACTCACAGGCACAGGGACCCTCACCAGGCTGCCAGCAACCCCCATCACCCCCACCTCATGGGGATCCTCACCCCCAGACCCACTCACAGCCACCAGGAATGGGGGACCCACAGTGGGGTGGGTGGGTGGGTCCCTCGCACCCCCCACTCACCTGAGGTCCAGTTCCAGCCCTTGTGCCAGTTGACCTTGCAGGTGACAGCATCCTGGCAATCCTCCCACCACTGCTCACAGTCCTCCCGGCACAGCGGCACGTCCCGGATCCGCTCCTTCCGCCAGGTGTTGTCTGCCTGCAGGGCCCCCAGTTCACCCCAGTTCCCCCCAAGGGTCCCGTCGAGTGGGTGAGGGGGGGGTCTGCACTCACCTGGTCGATCCACGGCCCCAGGTTGGGGGAACACTCGTACAGACACGTGTCCTGGATGAAGTGGCGCTTGCACTTCTGCGGCATGGCCCCGCAGTGGTCCCAGTTGAAGTTGTACAGGTAGGACTGGTCCTCGTGGGCTTCCTGACTGGTGTTGGCAGTGCAGCAGGCGTTGTCCTTCCAGAGAACACACTGCACCAGGGCAGCCAGGGCTCAGCTGGGACCTACCAGGGCTCAGCTAGGACCCGCTGGGGGTCCAGGGAAATCACCAGCGCCCACAGGGAGGTGACACTGGGTGATGGAGCCCATGTTACAGACCCCCCTGCAGTCCAGCCTGGTGACCCCACAGCGAGTGGCACCGGTGGGTGCTGCAGCAGTGGGTAAGGACCGTACCTGCCCGTAGAGCTGCCCCTCAGGGCCAGGCTTCTCTTTGTGGTGCTTGGCGCTCATGCAGATGTTGAGCAGCGAGTCCCGCGTCGCTGTATCGGCGGTGGCAGCTGGCCAAGCCACCAGCACCAGCAGCGCCAACGCCGCTGCCATCGCTCTGCCGGGGCGGCGGGGGGTGAGGACGGCGGAGCCGAGGCACACGGTGACAGCGGGGACAAAGTCCCACACCGCGCACGTGGGAGCGCGGCAGCACATGGGCACGGCCCGGGACCACCGACGGGGGCTTGGGGATCTTACCTGGGGGGCACCGGGGGCCGGGGCTCTTCGCTGAGGGGGTGCTGGGCTTCAGGTGCCAGGGGGTGGGTGCAGCTCATCTCAAAGGTCGTGGCGCGGCACAACCCTTGGACTGATCACGGGACGTGGGGACACAGCAGGTTCGGCAGCGCTGTGGGCATGGAGGAGACGGGGCACCGCACCCCGACACCCCGCTGTGTCCTGGGCTGACCCTCGCGCCCACCCCGGCCCCCCCAGCCCTGCACGGAGCCAGGATTTGTCCTGCTGGCGCCAGGCTGGGGCCGGCGCCAGCCAAAATCTACCCGTGGCTGTTTTTCCGTCCCTCCCGTGGGAGGCGGCTTCATACCCTGACACCAGCTCGAGGGGCAGGACCCACCTCCGACACCGCAGGATCCCCGTGACTGCCCCGGGGGGTAAGAGATGGTCCCCGGGGGGGGACAGGTGCTGCTGTGGGGTCACAGATGACCACAGGGTGGGGGCAGGTACCCTCACTGACACCATAGATACTCCCGATGGGAGTGGGGATGTGGGCGGGTGGATACCCTGGGGGAGGCCAGTCATCTGTGGCTTGGAGGGGACAGAAACCCTCTAGTGTCAGACATGCCCTGGGGGGGGGGCAGATACCCCAGAAGGGGCAGATACCTCCAGGTTCATACATGATGGAGAGGCCAGACATGCCCCTGGGGTCCCAGATGCCCTGGGTAGGGGGGCAGATACTCCTGCATGGGTCTCAGGTACCCCGTGGGGGTCACGGATCCCACCCACGGGTGACAGTTGTCCCCAGAGAAGCAGATACCCCATGAGGATCACAAATATGCCCCCACTGGGGTCACCCCCAGCCGTGGGGGTCACATACCCACTGTTAGTCACAGATACCCCAAGGGGGGCACAGATACCCCCATCCATGGGTAACACATGCCCGGGGGGGCAGATGCCCCATGGGGATCACAGATACCCCATAGGGGTCACACATGCCCCATAGGGGTCACAGGTACCCCATGGGGCTCACAGATGCCCCTTGAGTCACAGATGCCCCGTGGGGGTCACAGATACCCCCAGGGGCGTAACATATCCCCGGGGGGGTCACGGATACCCCCAGGGGGTCACAGTTTCCCCCGGGGGTGTCACATATACCGGGGGGGGGTCACAGATACCCCACTGGGGTCACAGATACCCCTGTGTGATGTTACATATCTCCAGAGGGGCCACGGATGCCTCCGTGGGGGTCACATATACCCGGGGGTGGTCACAGATACCCCCGGGGGGGGTACATGTACTCCTGTTGGGGTCACATATCCCCCTGTTGGGGTCACATATTCCCTGGTTGGTCACATATCCCCTGGTTGGTCACATATCCCCCTGTTGGGGTCACATATCCCCTGTTGGGGTCACATATCCCTTGGTTGGTCACATTTCCCCCTGTTGGGGTCCCCGTTGGGGTCACGGGCGCCCCGGGCCCGCTCGCGCGGAGGGCGGAGCCCCCGCCTGTCAATCAGAGCTGGCCCCGCCCCAGCCACCGTTCATGCCGCGCGTTGTGGGCGTGGCCTCGTCGGGCACACACCGCGCATGCGCCGCGGCCGGTTCCGGTGCGGCGCTTCCGGGTCGGGCCGGCGCGGCCGCGGAGCCCCCGCCATGGCCACGCTGTTCCCGTCGCTCCTGCCGCGCCTCACCGAGCCCCTCTGGTTCAACCTCGACCGCCCCTGCGTGGACGAGACCGAGCTGCAGCAGCAGGAGCAGCAGCACCAGGCCTGGGTGGGCACCAGGTGTGGGGAGCGGGGAGCGGGTTTGGGCCTGGGGGTCCGGGGAAGCGCCCCCTGAGCGGGCACGTCCGCGGGGCATCGCGGGTGTCCCGGGGCACGGGGCTAATGAACAGGCTGGTGCCGAACCGGGGCTCCTGCAGAGCCCCCGTTATTTAACGGATCGTCTCCCGGGAGAGGCGAAGGCCGGTCTCTGACCCCGGTAGCTCACAACGCCCGCGCCGTGAGCGCGGTTCGGTGCGGCGGCGTCCCTGAGTGGGGGGGGGAAAGACATCTGCTTGATTAAAGTTTTTTAAAAAGCAATCTCTCGGTGATTAAGTTATTATAATTAAGTAAAACAGCTTCAATCAATTAAAACCCCAGCACCTGGGAGAGGTTCCCAGTCCCTCTGGGTGGGAGGTCCTGCACATTTTAATTGAGCTTTAATTATCTGCTGCGAGTGTGTTAGTCTGGCTGAACAGATGCCTCGAATTTGGTTCTTTTTTTTGATAAAAAAATAGATAAACTTAGTGTTTGAGCTTCTCATGCCACACATGGGGACACTCCCAGTCCCCTCACCCCCAGGGTGTCTTTGCTAGGAGTGCAGGCAGCTGCCTGCAGCTGCTGTTCCCTGCCTGTCCCTCGGCTGGGCATGGGCGGGGGGATCCCGGAGGAGGGAACAGGGCTCCTCGGGCAGCTGCCAGCTGGGAATAGCCGTGGTCAGGGAGCAGCACGAGCCGGCAGCCGAGCGGGGAGTGCGCGGGGTGTCCCAGAGCTGCCAGGGTGCTCACCCGCCTCTCTGCCCTCCTCAGCTCCAGAGCATTGCCGAGAAGGACAACAACCTGGTGCCCATAGGAAAGCCAGCGTCCGAGGTGGGTGTGTGGGCAGGGAACTGGGGGGGTGCCGGGGGGCTGGCGGGGCCCTGGAGCTGTCGTGTCCACAGCACTACGACGAGGAGGAGGAGGAGGATGACGAAGATGATGAAGACAGCGAAGAGGACTCTGAAGATGACGAGGACATGCAGGATATGGATGAGATGAACGATTATAACGAGTCTCCTGATGACGGGGAGATCAATGAGGTAAATAGCAAGGCTGGGGGCCCCACTGCAACCCCAGAGGAGGGGATATGCGGTGTGTAGGAGCCTGAGCTGAACCTCGGAGGAGTTTCTCCTCTCCTCCACCCGCCTCTCCTGGGTCCCTGCTCTGGTGGGGGATCTCAAACCTCTCCCTTTCCCAGGTGGACATGGAGGGGGCAGAGCAGGATCAGGACCAGTGGATGATCTGATTCTGCCACGACCACACCAAACCGGAGCTGGGGAGAGTCCTTGCCCCCTGTGGCTCTGGGGGGCAGGTCAGTGAAGCTCCTCCTGCCATGGGTGCTGTGTGGGGGCCTTGGAGCAGAGCCCCCCTGGGGGAGCCGGAGGGGCAGCTGTCACCCAGCACACTGGGGCTGACACGTCTTTTGTAATAAACTCAGTTTACAAGAAAACAACCCCAAATCTGGTGTCTGAGGCCACCAGGGCAGGCAGGGGCAGCCATGGGGGTGCCACGCGGGCAAGTGCAGGGCTGCTCCCCACCATGCTTCCTCGGGCCCTCTGGCAGAGCTCCCTGCAGGGACACGGGGAAGCAGCGCAGGCAGGAGCCACTTGGGGAGCGAGCCCCCTCTTTCCCCCAGCGCCCCCCCCACAGACTACAGCAGCCAGCACATTTCCTGCAGAGCCCATGTTGCAGCCAGCGTGGGCAGTCGGTGCCCGTGGCAGCGCAGGGCGGGAGCCCGTGGCCTGCTCAGCGGGCGCCGGTGTAGCGGAGCTCGGCGACGCCGTCGGGGATGGCGCGGAAGTACTCCAGGCTGGCACGGTGCACCCTGCAGCGGTACCTGCCGCAGGTCTTGGCGTACTGCAGGAAGTGGGGCGCCCCAGGGAAGAGGACGTTGTCGGCCAGGATGGTGGCCCCCTCAGCCAGCAGCTGGTGGCTCTCCAGCAGCCGCAGGTCCCGCAGGTAGCAGCGCTTCCAGTGGTCCATGAAGACGAAGTCGGCCTTCGTCAGGCCGTGCTTCTCCCGCAGTTGGGGGATCACCTCCTCCGAGGGGCCCACGATCAGCTCCACCTGCGCCACAGCACTCTCAGCCCCTGGGGTGGTGTGTCCGGGTGCCCACCCGCCACCCTGCTTCACGGAGCGGTGAGGGGTCCGTGTGGGAAAGAATCTTTCTCTTCCCACAGATACCTCCCAGCAGGTGCCACGGTCCCTGCCCGTCTCCTCCCCAGTATCAGGCGCAGAGCCTTTGCCCCAGTGCCCGGGCGGGCGCTCACCGTGTGCTCGTCGAA